GGGAATTGAGGATCAGGCCCCAAGTTCACGCTGTTTTCACTGTTTGGGAGAAAACTTGTGTCTGGGCATGTAGTTGGTAGAACAACTTCATTGTGTGCAGGTGATGTTTTGTGGTTATGGAAAAAAATATCCCTGGGAGAGCTTCCAAGTGCTTTGTGAGAGGGCTGGTAATTAGGAGTAGGTAGATACTTAAGACAAAACAGAATGCTATGATGCTGTGTTCTATGTCATACAGGTCAAAGAGTCTCACCTAGTGCTTTCTGTGTCAAATCCCTTTTTCTATGCCAGCAGATGGTTAAAAATGCCTAGATCTGAAGAAGACTGTGTTAAATCAGGAAACAGATCAATGACTTGCTTATTTTCATGCCTTGCTAAGGGTCTGAAATTTAGCTTTCAGTGTGAGGCCTTTCATCTGTGTAACAACATATGCTATGGGAGCCCCTGGGGACTTTCATGTAGTTTGTTCCATGCTATTGACCCTTCCTTTTTATTTTCTTCTGCTTTTTTATGGGTGGGGGGCGGGACAAATCTTAGCACAGACAAGCCTGCCCTTGTACAGGTTAGAAAGCGGTAGCTCTTTTCTTGACTACAAGAGTATTTTAACCTTTGTGCAGGTTAAACTTTAGGGCATGGTGACCTTGGTGGTGTTGCTGGCTTTGTCCTTTGGCAGTGGGGGTGAGTAATGATTGTGTCTGTTCAGAGATACTCAGCTGGATGGGTGGATTGTCTGTGTGGTTAGGTGCTTACTGAGTGTGACAGCGATGCATCTGTCTTCTGGTCTCACCAGCTGCCCCTGAGTTGTTTTGTCTTGATTCTGTTTTTCAGACTCGTAAGAGACAGAAGCCCGTCAGTGAGACAGAGAGTAGAGAATGTTACAGGTCGCCTTTTCGGAAACCCTTGACTCAGTTGACCAATAGGCCTCACTGCCTGGATAGCAGTCAACATGTAAGTGGGTGTTACTGCTAGCACACCATAGCAGGTGGGTTGCATATGGAGCTCATTCATCAAGGGAGTCCCAGCAGGGCTAAATTTCCTTAAATTTCCATGGACCCATTTAATCAGACGTGTTATGGAAGTGCCACACATACACAGAGTCTTTAGGAGACACCTTTTGCTAGCTCCAGCTATTTAATGTTGAAGGAGATGTGGTGGGAGTACTTTCCATAATGGAAATCCTGAATAAGAGAGTTCTGTGGGGTCTAGGTGAAAGACAGTGCCCAGAGATGTGGGTAGCTTTGCACACAGGTGGCTCAAGTGCTGTCTGCTTGCCCAGTTCTCTCTGGACTTCCACTGCTGGAGCCTGGGTGCTGGACTAGCTGGGTGCTCGCTGGTCCGGCACGCATGTTGCTACAGTGGTAACCTAGATACTTTACAGGAAATGAATTGCTTGACTGAATTACCAAGGAAGGGGGAAGCAATAGCATTTAAAGAAGTGCATAATGGCAGTGGATTTGAGAAGATGGGATTTAGGAAAAGTCAATTTAACGCATTAGAAAACCCAAAGGAAAATAGTTTTGAAAAGCAGAGCTGGTGGGGGGAATTGTGCTTGTTTGTTACTTTCTTCCCTTTGGATATGCTTGAAAATAGTTGGAGTTGAAGCTTCAATAGATTGGATAGAGGGCTCTCAGCACTTGGCAAAATCGAGTTTTCAAAAAATGTCCTGGGCTTGCCTTCTTGAGCAATCTGTGATTTCAGACTTCTTAAGCATGTTTTCTTTCTGAATTTCTAGGAGGCTTTTATCCGCAGCATTTTGTCCAAACCCTTCAAAGTCCCCATTCCAAATTATAAAGGTAAGATGAGGAGGTTTAAGGATTGTCTGTGTTGACTGACGGGTAAAACGGATGATGCTCAGGCCTGTCAAATATATCTGTGGGGATTATTGTTATTTTTTGCACTGATGCGTATGTTCCAGAAATCCTGACTTAATTTTGAAAGAAAAATACTGGCATATTAGCAAAGTCTTCATATTTCTTACTCGTGTTTAGCTTGGATAATCCTACATTTCAGAATTGGATTTTGTATTTTTACTGTTATGTATTTGATGTAGTGCCAGAAGATTGTACACCATATCGCAAATACAAAAGCAAGATGAATTCCAAGCAATGAAGGTTTACCATCTAAATAATACCCTAATGATACTAACAGACAGAAGGCTGTAGGTGAAAAAGATAGTATGTGCCAGTTTTCTTTCTACTTGGCTTGGTGTGTTGAGTCTCAAGGTGATCTTCAAAGCAAGGCAGTTTTGAAGTTCAAAGCCTCAGCTGGTTTCAATTAGTGAAACACAAGATCTCAGAAACAAATGGACCTGTTCTTGTCCCCTTCTTCCCCTTCACCCTCCAGCTGAAAAACTCAAATGCAGATCAACCAGTTTCACTCAAACTTTAGTTATAAAAAATATGTCTGTAAGCAGATGCTGACTATGAAATGACAAGCCCCAAGAGTTTGACAAAGTTAGCTGTGGAAAAGCAGATTTATCGGGAGGCTGAAAGAGAACTGTAACTGGGAAGCTGCTTTCTCTGCCTGTTACTTTCCTCTCTTAATTGGAAGATGAGGCCATTTCATGTGCTGTTTTTGTGGTGTGCGTGCACTGTTGCCTCAGCTTGTGATACACTCTCGTTTTGCAAGGAGCTTCAGCAAGCAGCAGGCAAATTGGCCCTGCTTAAATCTTCCCCAAGCAAAATCAATCCTGGGAGCACAGTTGCCTGAGTTTTGATGGGAAAAGGGATTTCTATGCATGTTCTTTTTGTGTTCATCTCCATGCCAAAACTGGGACAGCAAAATATATAATACTAGGAAAAGGGACTCGTGCTTGGTTTCTGCTTTTCACAGAAATTGGCTCCAAGGCCAAATGTCTACTATTGCTCAGCAGAGAGAAAATAATACCTTAGAGTAGGTAATGGCAGTATGGTGCTAACTATGATACTGTGAAACTTCATCACTGTTAAAGATCAACTCCTGACCTTGCATAAAAGGTACAACTCTGGCTAAGTCTGGGTTAGGTGGTCCAAAAAGAGGATTTGACCCAGTATTTACTATGTATGTGGGAATGTGTTTATTGAGCTGCTGAGGCATACGTTCTGGAACCCTGCTTGTCTTTCAAAAAACTGGAACAACCACCTTTGACTACTAGGAGTAGCTTTGATGCCCACAGGTAGCTGAGGGAGACGTTGTGCCTGTTTATGGTTGGGTGCCAGTGGCACAGGTCTGGGGTGAAGCCATCAGTCACCTTGCAAGACAGCTTATACTGTTGTGTGTCAGCATAAATGCCATCTGCTGCACCCAGTGGTGCCCATTTTGGTGCACCCAATGTGGCGGGCAGTGCCATTGCTCCATCTTTTCCTCTGTTCCCTCATTCTATTCTTTCTTGCCACAGAGCTACCCACTGTGTGCTGGCAGAGCGCTGCCAAACAACAGCCTTGTGTAGGTTTGCTGTCTGCACCAGTTGTGCCTGCATCTCTGCTCCAGCACCCAATTAATTCACTGTTTCTAAATGGAATCAGACTTTTCTGCAAGACTCTGCTTTCTTCCAGGAAGAAGTTGTTCTTTGAGTTGTGCCTTTGTTTGCTTTCAGGGCCACTGGGCTTGCGTGCACTGGGTATCAAACGGGCAGGGCTGAGGAGTCCTCTCCATGACCCTTTTGAGGAAGGAGCTCTGGTTTTGTACGAGCCCCCGCTGCTGAGTGCCCACGACCAGCTGAAAATAGACAAGTGAGTCATCACCTGGCACAAATGTTTCAGCTCTGACCTCCTTGTACGTGTAGGTTTGTGTGCTTTCTTCCCAAATGTGTCTGAACTGAGGTCTGAACATCAAGGGAAGTTTGTTTCCAAGTATTCTGCCTCTGAATTGGTTCAGGTACGGTAACAATCAAAGAAGGAATGTACCCATGCTGGGTTGTTTGTGTTCTTCCACAGGCTATTTCATCTCCCACTCATCAAAAATTTAAACCTGTTGCAGGGAACAAGGATGCACACATGGAGAAGCTGCTTAGAAAATCTTATGGCTTAGTTGTTAGTCAGGAAACATCAGCATCTAGGGGCAAGCAAAGGGAGATGACTGACAGTCAAATGTTAAGCTGCCTAACGTTTTTTTTATTCTTAAGTAGTTCCTTCTGTGCTGTTGTTATAACCTAAAAGGGCTGTCAGTTGGATCTTCATGGATGGAGGAAGGGGTTCCTCTCTCCACTAATGCAGTTACAATATTGTTTCTGAAACAAGGAAAATAATAATGACTTTTTAACTGTGTCTCTGAACCAGACTTTGCCCTTGTTTTAACCACAGCCAGAATACATGGTTTCACTGATGTTTACATTGTAGATCGGGCACCTGTGACTTCATTCTCAAAACTGAATTAATCCATTTTTCACTTTCTTGTTGGCAGTTGCTTCCCTTGTGCCACTGGGGAGTCCTCGATACAGCAGTGAGATTTTAAAAAACTAAACATATGCTGTGCTTAGTTCATTAATCACACTGTCTTCTTCCTTGACTGCCTCCTGCAGGGACAAAGCACCTGTCCACGTTGTGGTGGATCCTGTCCTCAGCCGTGTTTTACGGCCCCATCAGAGAGAAGTAAGTTTTCCATTGGGACCTGAGGGTATGGCTGGAAGACTTGGTGCGTTTCAAAAAGCTGCAGTTCCTCTGCTGCAGTTGTAACCCACCAACTGTGAGGTCTACATAGACTTCACAGAATAACAGTCTGTGACAGTCTAACAGGCTCTAGTGTGTTGCAAATGCAAAGTGAAACACTTGTTTTAACCATCCTCTTAGAGGCCTGAATGCTGCAAATATTCTCTGTCCTGTGTTAAGCAAGAGGACATGCTGGGAGTATTACAGCAGTCCTGTTTGTCCTTAAAATTGTGGAAATTTACTGCTTTCTTGTGGGTAAGAATTTTCTCTTCTCTTGCTTGTGATCTAGCAGGGTCAGAGCACTCCCAGCTCTGGGATGTTGCCTAATGCACAGGTGTGTTCTCTGTGGGGCTGTAGGTCAGGTCAGCTGATAGTGGAAATGGGAGTTTCTGTGCCCATTGTGCACTGGTTGCACAGGTCTAGGAAAGCAAGTTGGCTGGCTTTTGTGTCACCAGTGATACCTTGGGAAAAGACCAGATTCTGCAGGGAGATGGGATCTTGCAGGGTCAGGGCTGAAAGTCCAGCCTTTAGTTATCTTGAAGTCTGGAGATGCAGCTCTGCTGAGTGGAACTTAGTGTGGAAGGTGATGGGATAAAGTTGCAATAAATTATGTTGCAGCCCAGTCTTGAGTTGGGCAGGGAAGACTGTCCACCACTATGTTTTGGTGGTCAGCAGAATTAATTCGATCTGCAGTCTTTGAGCCAGGAAACACTGAAGCTCTTCTTTCTGGTACCATGGTTCCCAATGTACTGTGGAGTGGATTCCTACCTCATTGTGTTTTATTCAGAGGCTACCCTTTGTAGGTGTGAGCTGTCCATGACCTACATAGACTTGGAATTCGCCTGCTGAAAAACATTTTATGTCGTAAATATGTGCAACATCACAATATCGAAGCAGTGTGTACTGATCTCCAAATATCTAATGTAGGTATCTGGACAGTTTTAAGTTCATCACAGATGCAGTATGTTATCATTTAAGCCTAGAGGCAGCACAGATGGAAGCTGTAATTGCTGATTTTGCAGGCTAAGCAGGTCAAGCTGGATGTGTCCCTCCATGGGAGATCTTCAGATGGCTCTGAGTGCACTGTAGGCTGCTCCTAGCTTGTTTATCTCAGAGTTGGTACTAAACCTGTGACCCAGTGTAATGCTTGTCTCTGGCTACATAGCTGGAGGCACTCTGTTTTTGGGTAAGATACTACCTGCTGGTGCTTTTGTCAAGTAATGATAGTTATGTTGGTGTCCTAGGCACACTGGCTGTTTACTGATGGCTAGATATCTCTGATAAAGCAGTCTCTGTTCGAGTCTGACTAATAAGTCTTTGTCTGCTAAGATTCCTGTGCTGCTTTATTCAGGTGATGCTCCCAGACTACTGTACAGCTTCGCTCCGTCTTTGTCATGTCTTTTGCTTGGTTGCTGGGAGGTTACCCAACTGGATCCCTAGCCAAATGCACTCTTTTAGTCAGTAATGTATTTCATAATTGTTCAACTGGCTTAAATAAACTTCATTAACCTGTTGTTAAGGCCTAAAAAAGAAAGAGAAGAACTTGAAAGTGCAAGTGAAGGTGCTCCATCTTCTAGTCCTAAATAGTGGAGCACATAGGGGTGAATCCATTCAGGTGTGTTTAGGTTGTGTCCCTCACTCCCTGCTCTGTTGACACAATGCAGGGAGCTTGTACATTCCCAGCACAATGTCCTGGTTTTCTCTGATTCTCTATTATCACATGATAGAGGAACATTTTGAGAGTCTGGGGTTTTTTTTGGTGGTGTGGTTTTGGGTGTTTTTTTTCCTCACCCTTTTATCTGTCTTGGTGATGTGTCAGAGCCTAATACAGGGCTGAGCTCCTCTCCCACCATGTGACATGGGCTATAACCTCAGCCCTGTGTCTTCTCTGAAGCTAAATCAGCTTTGGGCCTTGAGTCCCCAGGTGAGTCATTGCCTTCTAGGCAGAAGCGATGAGGGCTGCTGAGGATATTCTGGGAGTTAATCAGGCAGCAGAAACAATTCTGCTCACTCTATGATTCTGTGTTTTTAAAACTACCTAATTGGGTGTTGTTAAGATGATTAACCTGTTTGCAGTGATTGATGCAGGTTAGCTGATGGCCTGGGCCTGTCTAGTGCAGCCAAGGGTAGAAATTTCTGGGAATTCATGTTGGGAAGCTAGTTACAATCATACAGTTAAAATGTAGTAAGATTTTGTGCGTGTTATGAGGTACGTCTTGGCACCAGTAATGTTGTTCCAAACCAGATATGGCTGCATTTTAGCTGCGTCTGGGGTGATTTCCCTCTGTCTCATTAGAACACTGCATGTCCCCAGGGATGTGCTACACAGATTTGCTGTTGGTTGTGGTATCAGTCCTGTGCGTTGTGGTAATGAAGTTGTCATTCTGTTGATGTCCCCATCCTGCTCTGAGAGAACAATTTTTTGGCAGGGAGTGAAATTCCTCTGGGACTGTGTGACGAGCCGGCGGATCCCCGGGAGTCATGGCTGTATCATGGCAGACGAAATGGGGCTGGGCAAAACCCTGCAGTGCATCACACTCATGTGGACGCTTCTCCGGCAAAGTCCGGACTGCAAGCCTGAAATTGAGAAAGCCATGGTGGTGTCTCCCTCCAGCCTGGTGAGAAACTGGTACAATGAAGTAGAGAAATGGCTGGGGGGAAGGATCCAGCCGCTGGCCATTGATGGAGGCTCCAAAGAAGAGATTGACCGTAAACTAGGTACAGAAATGTTTGCAAATGGTGCGGTTGGCTGGCTTAGGTCAAAATCTTGCACTGGAAGAAGCCTACAGCAGCTGATGTGAACATCTCTGAGCTGTCATTAGAGCTTTGGAGACTGATGAAAGCCTCTCCACTAACATGTTTAGATCAGGCCCTTGCATGTTTGGTAGTAGCTGATCTTTTGGAATAATCCAAGTCCAGTCATGTGCTTAAGTTAGGGCAGTCCCAGTGCTGCCTCTGCTCCAGCCAGAAGCCAGGAAAGGAGTGGGCAGAGGTGGGCGGGGGATGGGAATGGGGACAGTTGTGGTGAAGGGAGCATGGGTATATTTCGGTGAAAGGGATGCTACAGAGTAATTTAACAGGTTTTCCTAGATTTTTAAGGCAAAAGTTTTCTACTTTTCTAACCTTTTCTACTTTTCCTCATGCCTCTTTTTTTCCTTTTCCCCCTTTCCATCCCCAGTTGGCTTTATGAACCAGCGTGGCCTGCGAGTGCCTTCACCCATTCTGATCATCTCCTATGAGACCTTCCGACTCCATGCTGAGGCATTGCAGAAGGGCAGTGTTGGGCTGGTCATATGTGATGAGGTACAGGAGAATCTTTAAGGAGAATCTGTTCCTGATGTTTTCTTGAGATCTGGGCAAAACTGTCTCGGCTTTCTTAAAAGGGGAGAGGGCAGGGGGAAACAAGGTTTAGCTGTGAATGGCACCCACTCTGGTGTTTGAGAGGCTCTGGGTGACCGGCTCATCCATACCGGGTGAGCCTGAACAAGAGAGGGTGTTTTCAGGAGCTGAGATATGAAGAAAATCCAGGTGGTGATAACCGTGGCACTTTGTAGGTCCCTGGCAGGGTGGGGGCACCTACTAGGGTTCTCTCAGTGTGAAAGATGTAGCAGAAAGGGGGTCCACTGCCTGTGTCTGAAATAGGCCTTACTCTGTTGGGACAGTACTCCCCTGGCTCACTCATCTGATTTTCATTTGTTTGTGCCTGTCTTTGCTCAAGTGAGAAGTACTTTCTGTTTGGCCTGGCCTCATGTTCTGCCCAGTAATTTTTAACTTGGCTCTGTTTTGAGCAGAGGTTGGACCAGAGACTCCTGAGGTCTCTCCCAACCTAAATGATTCTGTGCATGCTCTTGTGTGTAGAGTTGGCTGCTGTCAGCCACTGTGTCTGGCCATCTTATTCTATGCTTGTGGGGGAGTTGGAAGGGCACTCCCATGGCAGGACCCTCTTCCCCTCTCTGTAGTTTCCTGTTTGGGGCAGAGGTGGGAAAGCTGGGTGAGGAGTTACCTCATGTGTTTCTTGTTCAAGAAGAGACAGACGTGGCTTGACTCCCTGTGTGCTGACTGCTGGATCTAACTTTGCCAAGCCTGTGCTGTCAAGCTCTGCTTTCACATGGCTGAAATGGAGTTGTGTTTTCATTTATCATTCCCTATTTGTGGTTATAAGTAGCAAGAGCCAGAGATGCTCTGAAGGGCAAAATAAAACAAGTGCCCTCTCTCTGCCTCCTTGAAACGATCAAGCTGGGGGCCTCAGCCACTGTTGAGGTGTCCTCCCCTGACAGTTGGAGGAGACTTGTTAAATAGCAGTGCCACCCAGTGGTTTGGTTTTGTATTTGCTAAAACAGTGCGGAGAGGAGCTTAAAAAGAGTGAGCATCCTCACAAGTGTAACTCCTGCACCTCTCAGTGCCCGTGGGTTGGGGCCAGCAGCTAGGGATGCTGGGAATGCAGGTTCTTGGCCTTGTGTTTTCTGTATGTTCCCAATAAATACTCAACTCTGCAGTGGTCTGGCACTTGCAAAAAGCATCTCATCACTTATGCTTTGTCCTATAGCATAGCACTCGGAAGCTAATAAAGTTGCTTTTCCCAGGCATGGGAAATGGGGCCTGTATTCAGATTACCCCTGTAAGAGGTGCAGAACCTCTTTTTATTAGTGTGCAAAGGCCTGGCAGTCCTGGATATAGGTGGTCTGAATGGCTTGTGATCTTGACCTTTGGTGATGCAATGTTACTGGTCCAGAGTTCGGTGCCTGGTGTTGGTAGCTGAAAATGTCCCTGTGTTTGAACAGGAAACAGGTCTTATAGTTGGACCATGTGGTTGGTGGTTATTTTCATGGTAGGCCCTCTTGTTTGGGTGTGACTCAGATGTTCCAGTCTCGGAAGCTTGTAATGTCATGTTTCCTCACGTAATGGTTTTAGGTTTCCCACCAGATTTTTGCCTTTGAAAGAGGTCTGTCATAACAGTTGAATATGCATACAACACTTGGTCCACTACCAGGAATGGAAAGAGTAGTGAGATGCCTTGTGGGAGATACAGCATGTCAGTGTTGATGAGGATCTCCAAGCTGCTTCTCATCAGAGCCAGTGGATTTATCGGCTTCATTCCTCTTTTCTTTTTTCAAAGGGCCATAGACTGAAGAATTCTGAAAACCAAACATACCAGGCTCTCAACAGCTTAAATACACCTCGACGAGTCCTTATCTCGGGCACGCCCATTCAGAATGACCTGCTTGAATATTTCAGCCTGGTGCACTTTGTCAATTCAGGCATCCTAGGTAAGATATGAATGTGTGAGAAACATGACAGAGGGGGAACACTTCCCACAACACTCCCAGGCTATAGCAAATTCAGAAATCTAAGCCAGGAATGATGTCTTTGTAGGAGAGGCTCTGTGGAGAGGAGGGTTTGATGTGGTATGCTCTCTGCATTGAGTACAGAGGCAGCCTGGGAGACAGCTTTTCCCTTCTCTCTCTCTTGTATCCATCTGGCAGAGGAGGCTGAAGGGAATTGTGTACCTTGTGGCAGAGTTAGGCAACAAAGCCCAAACTTCTGGTGGTCTGCCATCCCACTTTTAGATAATCTGAGAGAAAGCTGAGGGTGATGTCTAGCATTTGGAGTTAAGACTGCTCTTGTTTTTTAAGGCAAGGGAGGCCTGTGAATATGGGGTTAGCTTCATCTGAGATAGAAAAGAGTGTGGAGGAGAGATACTGATTAGTGTGAGTTGTCAGGATCAAACACCTTCTACAGTTGCTAGTAGCAGACTGAAATATTCTGTCTCTGGCTCCTATGCTCTGCTTATGTCAGCAAGCTCTGTTTTTGTTTTAAAAGCAAAGTAGTCTTTGCATCCTCTCCTGCGTCACTGGGTTAGGAGCAGGTCTACTACTTTCCGGTGTGGAGCAGCTTGTCTTTGTCAAGAGAGGTCATTTTTCCTGTCAAGGAATGAAAATAAACCAATCTGTAAATCATTTCCTTGTTGCTGTAACCCATCACCCGTGTTTGTCTTGGATTGTTTGGCATCCAGTCCAAGAGGCTTCTCATTAATTCTAGTGCATGCACAACTCTAGTTAAACACCGCTCATCAGATTCTTAGTCTTACAAGCAGCACTTGGGCTGTATCTTTTTCTGTTCAGCTGTTCTGCCCCCAGGATTTCTCAAGGAAAGGATGGGATGGGGTGTTCTACAAAAGCAGATGTTCTACATCTGCTTTTTCCATGTGCTTCAGTTCCGGGTAGTTATTACAGCGAGCTGATGTGATTTCCCCTGCCTCCTTGACCCGTACTTTGGGCAAGACTAGTCTCCTTGTATTTCCAGTTTGTTCTGTCTGAGATGAGGTTAATACTGTAACTACTGCCAGCAAAGCTGCATGCATGCAGTACTCATTTTTTCCCCCCTTTCAGCCTGTGACCAGTAATAAGTAACTGATTACAGACAGTTTTGGAACAGGCACATGTAATGCCTATGCTGTTGTTTGCAAGGACAAAATCTGGGAGTAAAAGTGTAGCTGGAATTTGAGCAAGACCAGTACATGCCTGACTGGACTCAGGTTTAACTAAAATTGCACCTTGTGCAGTGCATTGTTGTTAGAGTATAAAATTATTTTCTGTGGCACAGATTTGCCTGCCTTGTTTGAATCTTTCCTGGCTAGAAAGGAAAACAGATCATACTGACGGGCCAAGAGTTTGTTTTATCTGCTGGGCCCCATGCTTGTGGTATGATAACTGGGGTTGTGGGGTACTGATGAAAGGTTATTCGGTAGTAGTTGTCACCTTTTCACTTCTGTTTTGTACAGGGACCGCACAGGAATTTAAAAGGCATTTTGAAATTCCCATCTTGAAAGGCAGAGATGCGGACGCAAGTGAAGCTGAGCGACACAAAGGAGAAGAGAGGCTTAAAGAGCTGATCAGCATTGTGAACAGGTGAACTTCATCCCTCTTCTCTTTGCAGAGCTTTTGCATAAACCCTTGGCGTACACTGGTATCTTTCCAAATGACAGTTGTAGCTGTAATGAATTCTCTTGCCAGTTACATCTATTCAGCAAGTGATTGTGCAAGTATTTATTGCCTAAGAAATCTACATGGCATGTAGCTTTAGTCTGAAAAATAGCACATTGAAATGGCACAGTTAGCTGCAGTCGTCCCCAAGCAAATGTACTCACATACCGAATCATGATTTGACTCTTATGCTTCTGTTTTCTCCTGGGATCTGAACAGTCAGGCAGCATCCTTTTATTTGTGTTAACATAACTACAGTGTAGACTGGGTCAGACTTGAGATCCATCTAGCCCAGACGTTGAGTGGCAGACAGAAAGAGTATGAGGATTGTCGCTCAGTTTTGCTGTTGATTGCCCAAGTCACAAAAGAGTCCATCTCACACTTTCATAGCTGTGCTGGCTCTGTAGGGCTAATGTGGTTAGACTACTAGTGTCAGAGATGTTACTTTTGATCCTCAAGAAGCACCTCTGTGTTGTAAAATGCTGTCTTATTTCTCTTTGGTTGATTTTTGGTATTTGTTTAAACCTGGTTTCTTTTCGATTCATGAACGCAACTGATTTATCTGCATCTGCTGGCAATCGTTTCTCTCTATAAGAACTCTTACTAGAGACTCTTTTGAATTCTCATCATTGCTGGCATCTTCATTTCTCTTTCTTTTTTTTGATCTGAACTTTTGCAACTGGTACTAAAACAATTCTGCAGTTCATAGTCATGGTAAATTGCATTTCACACTGAGTACAGCCTCTCAATAGAGACAGCCCTGATCTTGACTCAGGTCAGCTTGCAGAAGCCTAGGAGAAAGGAAAGGTTGGGAGGAGAAGAGCTTATTCCTTCTTGAGGTGCATTTATTTCTTTTATAGTTGATGGAAAAGGGGTATAAAAGTGTGTTCAGGAATGCTTGTGCCTGGCTGTGTCAAGGCCTGCGTTCTTTCCTTTACTGTACACCAGTCATGATACACAAATAGGGAGGGAGAAGAAGAAGAACGTAACTAGTAACAGATGAATCGGTTGAATTTGGTAGGAATTACAAATGAGACAGTGATGCAAAGATATGTGGAATCATAGGCATAAGGCTGGAAGGGCCCTGGAGGAGGTGCCTAATCCATCTTGCTGTTCCAAGGTAGAAGGTGTTAGACCTAAACCGTCCCTTACTTAACCCCCACCCAGCACTGAAAACCTTACAAATTCCCCAGGACACCTTTTCCAGGGCATCACTGTCTTTGCAGTTAGAAAATGCTCTTAATGTGTACCACAAATCTTCCTTGCTGCAGTTTAAGCCTGTTACTTTTCATCCTAATGCTTATGGGTTTGGAGACCAGATTATTCTTTTCTTTAACAGCCTTTGGGACTGTCATGTATCCCTGCTGTCTGTCTTCTGTAGTTTTTATAACATGATATTTTTGATGTTTCCTGGCAGAACTGTTTTCTGCACCTCTTTCATATTCTGGTTGCTCAGTTCAGCACTTTTTCTAGTCCATTCCATTTTTTCTGAAGTGTGGTAGAACCACTCCATGGGGCATTTCTAGAGTCCCAAAAGATAGGCCCTTTTGTCCTGGTTTCAGCTGGGATAGAGTTAATTTTCT